GTTCGTGAAGAAATAACAATTTCAAGACCGACATCACATTCTCCCACAAGTTCGCTAGCTTTTTTTTATATAAGCCAGAACTTAGTTTAGAGAAGGAGGAGTATCGAGTATCTTCATTATCTATTTTTGCCGATGGGATTTTTTGCAGTCCTGCTGATTTCTTCTGCTCCATGCTAGAATATAATAAAATATACTGAACAATTATTTTCAAAGATATGTGCAAAGGGAATGAAATATCATGACTATTTATATACACAAATTTCAGCTCAATCATTAATTTACTAGCCAAATATACCAATAAGAGTAATCTTTTTTTCATACTGAAAGTTATAATAGGAAATTTATATTTAATTTTACATTCCAATTTTGATTTTATGAATAGGTAAGTTGACTAATATACTAGATGAAATTTATCAGGTCTAACATATTGAAAGTTATAATAGGAAATTTATATTTAATTTTACATTCCAATTTTGATTTTATGAAATAGGTAAGTTGACTAATATACTAGATGAAATTTATCAGGTTTAACTAATTAATTATTGTGAATTGTCACTAGAGTTGTCAAAATGGGCTGATCCAATCAAAATCAACTCATTCTAAGAGGAAAAAGAGTTGAATGAGCTAGTATAGGCTGACCATTTTAATTAATGGGCCTACAAAATAGCAGTCGAACCCAACCCTAAGCAGGCCATGAGTTTGGACGAGTCAAACCTTCAATCAAAAAATGAATAACATTGGTGTCTTAGAAAGAGTATCTAAGAGTATTGAACTTTGATTTCTGATGAACATGACATCAATACATACAAAAATTCATTAATGAATTACACACTTCAGTGAATACTAGCAAAAATACATAACAACCAAGATACAACATTGTAAGATTCATTCGAGCAAAAAATATTACATGATTACTTTTTTTTATGAACAAGACAACAAAGGAGAAATGAAAAACTAGACATAAAAACAAAAAATAGACTTGATTTTAGTGAGCTAATGACCATAAAATGTAAAAGATCTGCAAATGAGTTAGACTTGATTTTATATTTTTTTTTTAATATTTATTGACAAAATCTTCACAAATAAAACATACTAAGATACATACAATAAATATTTTTAACTTCATAGCCCACAGATTATCCTATAAGGCTCACGGATTGGGACTACGAGGTTAGCTAACTAAAAGAGTCTGGACTAAAAAGCTTCATTTCTAAATGGGCCAAAGAAATTAGGCCCAACACCACTTAATTCAAGGGTTAGGTTTAGCAACTTAACGAGTCGATCCCATTTTGACAGCTCCAATTGTCACGCTTTGAAACTACTTTTTAGACGCAACACGATTTTTAGAGCAATATGTGAGCCCAAGCTAACTTCATGACATGACATTGATTAACATAAATCAATAGAGAATTTGGATTATAAATGCGGAAGCTAAATTTGAAATATATGTACAAATTAAATAATACTAAGATAGACTAGTATCTAAAAAAAATAACTTGAGTGAAATCTATATCTAACTAAACTATGTGAAAGCCTTTATTTATATGAGTTGTTTGGACAAAACCCCTAGCTAACTCCAACTATCTGAAAATCGAAAGAAATGACTGAAAAGAAAGATAAGAGTTGTCCTCAAACTGATACAGTTGCTTGCTGATCAGAAATAATACTAACTGCGAACTAGACATTGAGCGTCAAAACATATATTAACAAACAATATAGGCAAAAAGTATGTTGTTAGTACTTTAAACAAGTATGTAAGATAATACATGACAAATGTAACGTAACATGATGAATTTATAAAACATATTGATGCATGACCACATAAAATAACATGAAACTGAGGTTATACATTGAAATACACAAGTACAAGATCACACAATAACAGAAAGTCTAATTATTGAAGATACTAACACCAACATAAATTATGTGAGCTATTACATGAAGTTCAATGCACTTCTCCATACCTAAAATAGGATGTCCAATACTTCCCAAGATAAGGGAGCTTATGTGAATTCACTAAGCTAAAATCTATAAAGACTATTTCAATTATGACACGTAATTTTGGAATTTTGAATATTTTTACTAAAGGTCCATGGACGTTGATCAAAATTTTTCATCCCTAAAACTGTTTAAGTGTTAAGTATAACTCTCATGAAACATGCATATAAACTAGAAGTAGTGATTCTGATCATATCGATAAATATTAAGTAACTTATAGATCTTAATAACTGAAAATAATTTGAGAGATACTTTATTTGAAAGCATCGAAATCATTGAATACACATTTGAAACAACATAATTCTAAATCATGAAAATACTTATATGCTACGGGTTTATGAAAATATCATTGAAAGCATGAAATTATATTTAAGTCGTACAATTGGATATTAATTATGAAGAAGAATTAAAATTCATCAAGATTTCATAAAGTGCATAAACATCTCAGGTTTATACAAATCATAAATATAAAAATTGAGATTTTTTTAAAAAATTTAATGGGTGAAGGAGTATCCATTGATAAAATCTCTCATACTAAGAGTAGAAACCCTAAATTGAATCTTGAAAATGAGGCTTGAAGCTAAGATCCCTTGTTTTTGCCTTGAGAGAAAAGAAATTGCTTTAAGGAAGTTATTAGTGCAAGTGAGAGTTTAAACTGATAAGAATACTTTAATCTCATTCAGAATAGGTCAAAACGACTGGTATAGAAATTAAAAGAGTATTGAGAGGCTAAAACGACCCTCATTAAAAATTGTCGGAGGTCATCCACAAGAGTATATACCAACCGTAATTCCTTCTGCGAGTTGTACATCTCACGCGTAAAAGACATGATGAAATACTGAGTTTATGATCTTCCAAACAACGAATCCAAATCATGACTCGTAGTTCATATATAATTCATATAGGAACATACTGAAGTGCATAGTCTCTGGGTTTGGCCTACAAAACCCTTTTCAAGGACCGTAGTTTCAAATATGACTCTTACATAGGCTTATAACAGTGAGTGATATGATTAAGCTCTGAAGATTTAAGACTTTGATTTACGAGACCTTTCACGACTCAAATCATCTACGATCCGTAAAACGTTTTAGTCCTAATCAAGTTACTTTTTCAAGTTTCTAAAGTTATTCTACCACTTGTGTTCACGACTCATAAAAGGGTTTACTAGATATAAACTCATCTCATAAATCTCAAACTTAAATTCTTGTTTTTATAGTCTCACCTACGAAATTCATCTACAACTTGTGACTTCATTTACGATCCATAGAAGATTTTCACAACATTTAAGAATTATGTATATTTGTACTTTTGGAATTGTACAACCTTTAATCTAAACAAGGAACTTGTGGGGTGTCACAATATCTCTCCATTGAAAACATTTGTCCCAAATAGAGTCTAACTAGGTTGAAAATAGTAAAGAAAAATTTGCAATCTAATACCGAAAGCTAAACCCTGAAAACTTAAGGAATAACTAACTCCGAACTAAAAAATGAACATTAAGTTGATTTTGTAAACATGTATGCATACTACGACATGAAAATAAGTGAAAGACAAAAATATGAAAGGAAATACCACAAATGAACTATTACCTCACATTGGAATTGAATAGGAAGGATTGAAAATAGGGATACTTAGTCATCTTATATGTTTTGACTTCCCAAGTAACATCCTTAACTAATTCATTCCTCCAAAGAACTTTCACTGAATTGTCTTTTTTATTTCTCAACTTATAAACTCGACAGACAAGAATATGAACTCGACCTCTTCGTAAGAGAGATTTTTCGTCACATTAATACTCTTTAAAGGCGTAACTAAAGTCGGATCACCAATACATTTCTTCAAGAAGAGAAAATAAAACACTGGATGTACTGATGCTAAATCTGAAGACAATCCAACTATTAAGACACATTATCAATATGCCTCATAATTTGGTAATGACCTACGTTAAGGAGACTAAACTTTCCCTTCTTTTCAAACTTAATAATCCCTTTTATAGGTGAATTCTTTAGACAAATCTACACACTTATTTCATATTCAAGCTCTTTTTTCCTTACATCAACATAAGATCTACTCTGGATTGTTTCATCCTGTCTCTAATAGGTCAAATTTTCTCGATGGCCTCATGTACTTACTCAAGGCCATATCAAAGCTACTTCACCAACTTAAACTCAACCTATAGGAGATCTACACCTCCTATTTGTGAAATTATTTTTCCTTTAATAATCTATATTACCACCTCATTAATTAAGTTAAGAATTTAATTTATATAAACAATAAACTTCAAATGAGATATAAAACAATTATTAAAACTATAACTATATAATAGTAATTAGGAAAATTATAGCTAGAGAGACTTATTATGTTTCAACTGTTACCTATTATAAAATTTCTCCTAAAGAAAATAAGTAGATTATTAAAAAATTAAAAAAACATTTTTAAAAAAAAATACACATGCACACATACTATAATTTATAGTATGATTTTACACGTGTATCCTTATTTTCAACAGCACTTAGTGTTTTTTTTTACAAAATTAATATCGAATAATTAAATAATATGTAGAAAATTCCAACACAAGATTTTTGTTTTTCTAAACTTGTCAATATAAAGTATTTCATCTAAATTAATTTATTTTTCTTACTTTTTTTTAAAGTTCATTTAAATAATAGTGTCTCTTTCTTTAAAAGAAATTTTTAATTTTAAAATCCCATATTAATTGTCCACGTTATAAAAAATAATGTCTCAAATTATTATATCAATTTACAAAATCAAAATATTAACATATTAATTACATTCCCATTTACATCTGACTATTAATTCTTTTTAAAAGTATACTCAAGTTTCTACAGTTTTCAAAATAAAATAAATTATTAAGGTGTAAATTAGTAAAACTATATCTCTTATTATAATTTATTACTCATTTAAAATCATATATACAATAAAATATTTTGACATAAAATCAAAGAAATGAATTAAAAGTAAAGAAATATTTATTATTATTTGGAGAGACAAGTACACATTAGTTTAACCTCAAAACTCAAAACTCAAAACCCTCACAAGTCCTCTTTCTCTTCTTTGCGCCTCTCATTCTTGGATTCACTTTCTGGGGTTTCACCTAATTTTCCATTCTTGAAAAGGGTATGTAAAGTTCAAATCTTTTTTGGGTTTTCAGTTTATATATGTATGTATCTAATCTCTCTTTACTCTTACAGTTATAATGGCTGGTGTTCCTTCTAACCTTGAAAGAGAACAGGTTTTTTTTTTTTATTAACTATATGCTATTTATTGCTTCTGTCTTAATGGGGTTTGTTTTTGATCTATTTGTGTTTTCTTGAAACTAAAGTCTTGATTTTTATTTGGGTGAGAGCAGATATTCTCTATGGCAGAGAAAGAGATGGAGTATAGAGTGGAGATGTTTAACAAGTAGGTATCTTTTAGCTTTCTTGAATGTTTGGAAGTATACTCATTTGCTTGATTTTGCTCTAGCTAATTGTGTAAAGGATGATTTGTCTATGTGTGGTATTGGTATATTGAAATAAGTAATACCTGGTGTAATCTCACAAATTGGGTCGAGGAAGTAGGAAGGTTGGTGTGTACGCAGCCTTACCCGACCTTGAGAAGGTAGAAAGGTTGTTTTCGACAGACCTTAGTTCAAGTAAAACTTATAAAAATCAAGTATGTAAATAGAATACTGTTGTGAAGTAGTGAAGAATCCATGATTAAAACAATGAGAAGGCAGTGGTAGGAACAACAAATAATATGATAACCTAAGCCAAATGAGATAATAAAGTCAAAGAAAAAGATAGGAGAGTAATTAAAAAAACACTAATAAGGAAACTGGAAACTACACAATGCTCGATTACCTAGTAACCTTCTATCATAATACTCTACCTCCAAATCTTCCTATCTAGGTCCGAGTCCTCCGTATGTTGTAGGTGTGTCATGTCTTATCTCATCATTTCACCTCACTACTTAAATAAGTAAGTACCTGAAAATTATATGCTAATTCTTTGGTGTACACAACTTTTTACTACTAATATGTGTGTTGGGAACTGGGATTTATGATGCCTGTCGTTTTGAACATCAAATGTTCCAGATATAAAGTTAATGAGGAAGACCTGCTGTGAATTGTGTAAACCTTCTTATATAGTTAGAGAGGGGAAAACTTTGCTTATTAATTTGTAAATATTATATACAGTTTTCACATGTGAGTTGTGACCTAATTCTTTTTCTTGGGACAAGTACACAAACATACTTTGTTGACGGATGGTGAGAGCTATGCTGTTTCCACAGTACCTGTTGAGGGAATTGAGTGGGGAATGTTTATACATCTAAAGGCCTAAATTAATCAAAGAGAAGTTCATTCATGAGGCGGTTTACATAATTTGACATTGTAATCAAGTCGCTCAAAAGGTGCCGAAGGAACATTAGAAATGCTAGTTTATAATATATGGTACAAAATTCTTAACATAATGTTTGGAAGTAATTTTTGTCACTGCATAAAGGTAGTGTTATCTGTTTTCTAGTTTTTGTCTTGATTTGCTGGGCTTTAGTTCATATTTCGCATCCTGTCTACTTCTCTGATTTCTTACCAGCTCTTTTTTCCTTTTAAAACTATAATTCAGGCTTACGCATACATGCTTCAAAAAATGCGTCGAGAACAAGTATGTTACTCATTCTTCTTATTCTTCTGGCCTAATATATGTTTTGTGCATCATTTTCTCAAGATTTAGTTTCTTGGCTGACAATGCATTTGTAAATGGCTTTACAGGTACAAGGACTCGGAGTTGAACATGGGTGAAAATAGTTGTATTGACCGATGCGTTTCAAAGTACTGGCAGGTAAGCCATGGCTGTGCGTTCCCACTTCACTAAATCTTGGAGTTAACCTGGTACATGTAAATGTAATAAATACACATATATTTACTTTCAAGTGGTAAAATTATGTTGGTTGCATTAGCCATATCATCTTACTTTGTCTAATGGAAATGGGTTAACCTTTTCTGAACAAATTAAGTAGTTATACTAACTTTGAAGAGACGAGTAATCTTTTCTACTGACAAAATTCTGTGACCTTTGGTAGTTCTCTGGTTTAATCATAATTGTTTTTCCTCTATTCTTCATTTCACATATTATGTTGATGCGTGAAAGATATATTTTAACCAAATTACTTTAATAGAATAGATGACTCACTGCTTAAAGTGGATTAATAGCCTGGGTGGCCAAGCATTTGGGACTTGGGAGACCAGAAGTGCCTGTTTTTAGAAAGTGAAGTGTTTAGCAAGCTTTTAGGAGAAAATCAGTTCTTTTGATGAGTAGCATTAGCTGCTTTTCAGAAGATAAACAATTTAGGAACCTAGTTCATGAAGGTGAAGTGAGGGGTTTCAATGCTTATATAACTTACTACCATGGCTGAATGGAAAGTAGTTGGCAGGTGGTACACTTGGTCAAATGGCCTGGCTTTATAGTAGGATCGATAGGGACCTGTGTATCCAAGTTTACTCATAACTTCTGCCCAAAATGAAGTAGTGGTGATGGACCCAGGGTCCTCTGACCACACACCATTAATTATCACCTTTGACTAAGATAAGACATGACCCTAAACCATTTAGGTTTTTCAATTGCTTTGCTAAGCTCAAAGACTTCCTGCTACTGTCAAAGATGTTTAAGATACTCCAACCAGGTTTGATTATAAGGGGGCTGGCTATGGTAGAAACTGAAGCTGGTGAAACAAGGTCTAAAACACCTTAATCGGAAGGAATTTAATTATGTGGATATCAGAGTCCCTAACAATGCATACAAAGACTAGCTGATGCACAAGCACAAACAAGGGACCATAACCATTCATCTGAACTGTTTAATGAAGAAAATTCACTCAAATTGAGTTTGAGAAGTATAGTATAGTGGAGGAAAGAAAGCATATTAAAACAGAAGTCTAGGACTAAATGGCTGCAACTTGGTGAAGATAACACTGCATATTTCTATGCCACCTTTAAATGCGGATAAGTCCAGAATAGAATTAAATGCCTTGTATATTAGCCAAAGTCAGATCCTGCAACATCCAAATGAATTTGAAGGCGAGATAATGAGAATCTACAAAGATCCAAACATCATGTAAAATGGATTGCAAATCTTGAGAGCAACAATCGGATTTGATTGCCCCTGTCCCAAGGAAGAGGTGTATGCCCTGATGAGTATTGATCATCAGAAGGCCTCTGGTTGTGATGGTTTTAGTGCCCACTTCTTCAAAAGAGCATTGGGGAGGAGGTTAATCGGCAGTAGTAAGTTTCTTTGATCATGGTGACATGCAAAGACCTATACTACATTATTTTTTCAAAAAAATTAAGAAAAAGAGATTGAGACAGATTCACTGACCCAATATATGCCAAAAGGTGCTCTGTTACTGTTCCCATCAGTCAAGTCTACAGTAGATGCATAATATTTCTTTGCCGTTTGAAATTTTTATTATACCAACACCTGTTAAAGTCATGATGTGAGTGATTATTTTATGTCTAGTATTAGAAAAATGCATGCAATGGGGCATTGCTATCGGCGAAGCAAGTTCTGCATAAAATCAGAAAATTAACATGCAATCCAAAACACCCTTATTCTTAAGCATCAGCCAGATGGTCCAGGAGATCACCAAAGTAATATGACTCTTAATCCAAAATATTGAAGCAGATATCAGAAATCCTTTCCATTTTTCATGTGTAAGAAACTTCTTGAAGGTATTTGCAAGCAAAATTACTTCCTAGGTTAACCATTTACCCAGTATCAGCATTTTCATCCTCTTTTTATTTGAGGAAGAGAGTTTTTTTTTTTAGAAAGAAAAAGTAAATAGAATCATTGCCTGACCCATTTATCAGTTGGCTCACTTTGCTTCGCACCACAGCTGCCACCATCCAAGCTCCCTTAATCAGCCCCTCCTCTCCCTTACCGTCCGACATCACTCCATCCTCATCCCACCCAGCCAGTACCAGGCCTTTCTCTTCTGTCCCAACTTGCCTCCAACTTCACCCTCTCCCGTTCTCCATTCAAACAGCCACCCCTTCACAGCAAGTCACTCCCATATCCCACCCCACCAACGCTTCCCTAGAGTCCCATCAAACCTCTCTTGCACTTCATCCAGGCTCCAGCACCCATTCATTCTCCACCTCACTTCCCTCTATTCTTCCTCCTCTGCTTGGTCCCCTCTTTCTGTTACCAATCCTCCCTCAGGACCCTAAAAGTTCCTACTGTTACCATCCTTCCTACTTCCTCTTTTCCTTTTTTTTGTGAGGGTGGGGTGAGGATTGATTTCTTTTCTTCTCCTTTAGATTATTATCTTTTCTTGACAAGGTAAATAGTTTTATCAGTAATCGAGGGAAACCCTATATCCAAGTCATATGCCATAAGGATAACTTTAGGTTTCTCTGAAGCATTCGTGGATCCAATCCACATTTTTTTGCTATCATATCAAAAGACTTTTCGAGTTAGCTTCAAAAATTGACTCCCTCAACTTCTGTAATCAAAGAGGCAGTGGTCTTACACATTTCTCTAACTAGAAGAAAGATACATTTTGTTCAATAACTAGGTCCAAGTAACTGTTCCAAAAAACCCACTTGTTCTTGATATTTTTGTGCCTAAGCAAGTTTGGGTCCCAAGAAGTTGGAATATGAAGCTTATATTTGAGGTTGAAATTAAAGTGAAGAACATATCCACTCTGCGAGCCCCAAGTCTGCATAACGAGAAAATATCTAGAGAATCAGATTGAAGTCCAAAAAATTCTCCTCTCATCATCTCCCTATTTCTGCACATTGATGGCTTTTTTAAAACATCCAGCTATCACGTCAATGTTAATTTCTAGTTAACTTCTGAGTAAGCATAATAATGTGCTCTGACAACTTCCCTTGTATATACTGCTGTTTTTAAGTGTCTCCCTCCCTGCTTCACCAAAATTTTCACTCGAGATTTTAGTGAATGAGGTGATGATAATCTTCTTGAGCCGAGGGTCTAGCAGAAACCACCCCTCTACCCACAAAGGTAGAGGGGTAAGCTCTATGTACACCCTACCTCTCCAGACCACACTTATGGGATTATACTGGGTATTGTTAGTGTTGTTGAGGTGGTGATAATCTTGATATTCATTAAATTTCTGCGCATCTTATTACTGCTAAATGAATTTAGGTAGTTACGGCAGTGTGGTAGTTGCAGTAATATTGGTTTGGTATCTATGCTCCTTTAACTTCAAGATATTTAGTTGAGGTTGTTGTACTTCTTTTTCTTCAAGATCCAACAATAACTAAGCACGCCATTTCAATATTTTCTGCAGGTGACTAACCTTGTGGGGACGCTTCTTGGGAACACTCGACCCATGTAACATTTTCCCATTGTCTACTTCGTGGTGTTCGAATAATCTATCAGGGAGAACATTAAAGAAGAGATTGATAATCCTTCTCGTTCTAGTTCCATATTTGTTGTTCTCGATACATAGTATACATGTCTTTGACAACTGTTTGTGATGGTATTATCAAATTTGATGGAGGACTTGATGTTAAGAGTTGTGAGCATGTCTCTATAATAAGCTATGTACCCAAATCAAATCATATTTGGTCTCTGTGCAAGTTAAATCCACAACAAAGTTCATACTTATCATCTCTCACTAACATTTTCCATGTATTAGATATGGTAGAAAATGCAAAGGGAGAACAGAAAGATAGATACACTCTGCCTTTGATATGAGTTCTTGCCATAGTCACATTGATATATAATGATGAAAGCTGAATTCCATTACTTTCAAATGAACAATAATGAATAGAATGTTCAACTAAGGATGAGAGAATTTTTCACCAAATGTCAGAAACTACTTCCAAAATGGGAAGAACAAAACTTGAATATTAACATTCAACAACCAATTGTGTTCATAAACCCTTTAGGTGTTGCTTTTGTAGATAAATACAAGAAACTCAATTCAATAAAAATCGAAGAAATTCAAATCTATACAGTTTCAGTTTTTGTTCCTTTTTGCTTCCAACTTTGTAGCTTCTTTAAGAGCTTCTTGGGCATCATTCTCAATCCCAAGCACAAAGAGTCCAGCAGCCTGTAGGTAAAAGGCAGTTGGCCATTCAGGGAAAACCACCTGAGCTTGCATTGCATCCCCTAGAGCTTCTTGTGGCAAGTCGCTCATCAGATAACACAAACAACGCCTGGCATACACGGTTGGTGATACCATGGTTCCTCCATCAATGAACTATATATTAAACAGAAAAACATGTAAGTCTGCCTTGTCTTGTTCAAATAGCTGAATACTTTTAAGAGACATTTTTCATTTTGAGCTTTTACTGAGGAATTTAATCAAGTCTTGCTGCAATTGTTTTACGACTATGATAAAAGCATCCGCATTTTAGCCATTAACATAAACAAACATATTTGCTATGGTCAAACCTGTGTGTAGCAGTCAATAGCAGTAATGAAATCCTTGGCTCGGAAAGCAGCATCACCATGCTTCTTAGAATTCAAGGTTTCCTGCATCTGATTTGTCCACATTTGGAACGAAAGCTGTAATGGAATCGCAAAATAACAAAATCAAGATCAAGTCATACCAATAAAAATAAGACATGATTTAGTTGTGGGGCAATTGAGATATGAAGATGAAAACACATATAACAAACAAACAGTATAATACTGAACTTGTAAATTATCACAAAATGTTAAGATATCTTATATTGGTTTATTGTAATCCTTTTGTTTGACAATCAACAGACAGAAGATCTAAGACTTTTACTGAAAGGATACCACATGGGCTTAGATGATGACACCAGGTAGGCCCTTTGCTAATTGATGGAAAAAGAAACAGAGTAAGTAAATTTTAAAAGGCAAAACATAGTGGACTCTCTTTTTGGTAATAATTAGAGGAACAAAAGCATGATATTAAAGTTGGATCATTAACATCTTACTTACCTCTCTCAATGAGGTATTATTATCTTAGATCTTCTTTTGGGCAGGAGGTAAATCTTCTGCATCTAAAATTAACCTTTTAAAAGTGGTTCCTTATCAAGAATACCATGATAAGAAACTATTATGGAAATTCTCCCTCCGTTTCAATTTGTTTGACAGGTTTTGACTTGGAACGGAGTTTAAGAGAACAAAAAAGACTTTTGAAACTTGTGGTCTTAACCAAACATGGGCAGAACGTACCAAAAATGTCCTTTAATCGTGTGGTCTTAAACATATCACACGGAAAGTTGAAATTAAAGTGTTCACAGAAATGGAAAAAAATCAAATCTTTTTTAAACCGACTAAAAAGGAGAGGGAGTAGAAACATGTCATTCATCCAAGGTGCTAAAGAGAGGGTTAATTGTATTAGGTTGTGAAAAGAATATCTAAGCCAGAAAACATCTTCTTTTATATATTTTTAAGAAACAAAGCTGCTAATGAAATAGTTAAATTGAGTAAAGAAAAGGAAGACCTCATTGGCAATTCCTTCATCATCCTTGTACCCACTCTTTTCCAATATTTCATGAAGGGCAGTAAGATCCTTTCTCAAGCATGCTTCACCCATTGGAGTCAATAATAATGGCTGAGGTGGGGTTTCAGTTCCATGTGGAATACCCAACAAAACATGTGATGGCACCTGGATTATATCAATGGCAAACATGGGCTCCAAGCATTATATAAAACAAAATTAAGGAGAAACCAAGGTGATTCATCTGAAGAATACATAGCAATTAAAATATAATATGTTCCCTTGAAGGTTTCAGTTTCCGTTGTTAACTAAATAGAAAATATGAGATAGCAAAAGACATGGGATATATCCACACTATAGTAACATAATCAACCTTACTATAGTGTGTTCCTAGACAACCAAATAACACAATGTAAAAAGAAGGTGTTTATCTGTTTGGCATTGATCAATTTTTGATCTCACAAATGAAAGAAGGTTAGAAGCAGTTCTTTAAATGTTTTTGTGATCTGTATGTAAGTCAAGGGGCATAGGCATACCTCTGTTTCTTTCTGAAGAGACATAAGTGAAGTGACGAGAGATTTTGCATTTGGCCTCTCACGTGCCTCATATTGTAAACAACGAGTGGCTAGCCGAACAAGCTCACTTCCATCATCATTTGAAAAATGACCCTCCAAACAAGAATCCATAAGCATCAAAAAATTCTTCCCTCGAATTAGATCAAGTGCCTACGAGAAGGTAGAAGAAACCGTGCTCTTCAAGTTCAGGAACTCAAGTAATAGAGTCGATAAACAAAGTTCAATTTATACAGGATTTCATATAGTGCACATCCTTAGGTCCAAAATCTTTTGCAACTTACATGGCTTGGAGGAATATGCTTTCCACTCAAAAGATCTAGCAACATTGTTCCAAAGCTGTAAACTACACTTTCAGGGGTCACTCTTCCTGCCAATCATTAACACATTTCAACTTCACTTATGCTGAATTAAGGAAAAGACAGTAGCATAATACTTAAAGAAATGCCTGAACTTATTGGTAAATTATTTAAGCAGATCTTTCTTGATACTAAAGCTTTGCGGTGAACAACAAAATTCCATCTCACAACACTTTGGATTGACAAAAAAATCATATTTGACCTGTTTTCAAGTACTCTGGGGGAGTGAAAGCCAAGTTTGTACTATAACTCTTCCCGTCTCTACTGTTCTTCATCAAGCCAAAGCAAGAGAGTCTAGGATTACCATCCTGCGAAAAAGCTAACCAATGTAAGGCGCACTACACCTAACACAACCTAGTTATAACAAAAATTGCAGTAGAATCAATATTTACCTGATCGAATAAGATTCTATAAGCATTAAGATCGTGGTATAATGCCCGACCTTTGCTACTGCAGTAGTCCAAAGCTTGCGCTAGATAAAAAGCAACCCTCAACCTCATCGCCCATTTCATAGGTTGATTCTCCCCTAGTTCCATTTCAAAGCATTTCAAATATCAGCATCAAACACAGACTCATAAATAAATTCCATTGGAGTTGATAAAAGCAAACACAATTGACACACAATAACAGTCGATCTGCCTTCAACAACAAACAATTTATGCTCATATCACTTCTCCCTGACTTCGAAATCACGGACTTAACTATGATCTAGATCACAACAAATCCCATCACAACATAAAGTTCCTACAATTCTCATTTCTGAGTTACAAAATTCTGGCGATGGGGATTGGACTCACAGTGAAACAAATGCTTAGCAAGGGTCTCATTAGGCATGAACTCAGCCACCAGCAATTTTTCCTCCCCTTCACAGCAACATCCTATTAGATTCGCCAATCGTTCGCTCCTCAGATTCCCTACAGCTCTAGCCTCATCCTTTACAACACATAAACATCGTCCAAAATTATAAACAAAACCAATTCATTCATACACAAGAAAAGGTTACAAATTGGGTACAATTGAGCAACAGAGTTATAACAAAACTAACCAAGAATTGACGAGAATCAGGCCAAGCAGACCTATTAAAGCGTTTAACAGCAACCCAACGACCATTCTCAAGCAACCCTTTATAAACTACATTTGGAGCTTTCTCTCCATGCTCAGACACAATGTTTTCAGATGAAAATCCATTGGTAGCCATCTTCAACTCATCAAGACTAAACTCAGTGAAAACTGGAAAAGCATTTTTCTCATTTTTACCACCATTCTCTGCCAACACAAAACAAAGTAAAAAAATCTCATCTTGACATTCAAAGAACTACATAAAACACACACACACACACAAAAAGTCAATAGAAATATAACAAGCAAGAAAATAAATACCCAGATCAGATGAATCAAGAAGGGATGGTTTGAGATGAGAATGCCACCAACAAAAAGAGAATTTTGAACAACGAGCACCCATTTGACAGTAAAAATGAAAACAGCAAAAAACAACAAGATTTCTTGAAAAAGGAGCAACCTTTATGGCTTTACTGTTTTTTTCAAGAAACAAACAGAGACCCAATTTATAGAAATTCAAAGAAAAGATGATTCTTTTCTTATTAAGCTTTTTCACTTCTCTTTATGGTGTGCAAGCAAACATGACAGAAGAGAAGAAGAAGGCAAATGGGAAGAAAGAAAAAGGAGGGATTTTTATAGCTACTGTGTTTTTTCTCTTGAGGGAACAAACAGTGACCCCAATTGTTGTTGGAATCCAAAGAAAGGATCTTTTTGCAGAAATTTACAGTACCCTTTTGATGATTCTGTTAGTGTTGTAATTTGAAGCCTTTTTAAGAGCATGCAGAAAAGAAGAAAAAGGAAATATGTATAGTATTATAGCTGTACCAACATGGTTTGTGGTATATTGATGGGAGTATTTTATTCTTATTTAGAAATATCGTTTTAATCTTGGATATAGAGAACATTCTATTGAGACTGTCACCTCCAAATACGCCAATATACAATTTGAATTTATTCGAAACTTTAATGTGGACTTCAGATTTCGAGTTAAAAAATTAAAAAAAAGAAGAAGCTAATACTGTGTGATTTATTGGATGAAAATAATTACAAGAGAAGAGCAAACAGCCAAGCCAACACATAGTGTGTAGCTTTTTTTTCACTTTCATGTCTCTCTTTAGAGAGGAAGCCATGTGTGGTTGCTGCTAAAGAGAATTGACCTTTTTTTTTCTTTATAAAATACTTCCTCCTAAAAAATTT